AATATTTTTTTTTTTTTTTTTTTTTTTTGAAAAATAAATCCAATAAACAAGTAAGTATACGCGCCAGTTTTCCCCTATATTATTCAATAATAAAAAATAAAAAGCGAAACAAAAAGTTAAATAAAATTCGCGGTTTAATATTTTTTTTTTTCAAATTATTATTTATTAAAGCTATAATACCGCATATATTTTTAATGTCTTTTTATGGTGTTACCACGAAGGAAGGTGTGTAATATTGTATTAAAATTAAGATAAGGTTGATTAGAGAGTTTTCAATTAGAACGCGAATTTAAAATATCAAAAAAAAAAAATAAAAAAAAATATTCTTTTTTCGATTAAACCGTTCAAAATATATGCGGTTTACAAATGTCTATCAAAAAAAAAAAATTTAGACAAGGTGTAGCCTTTATTTACACATAAGAAACAAAATTGTGTACTGATATGAGTAGATAATCCGGATTATAATAATATTATAACGGTAAAGATAAAAAAAATTGAAAATAATGACTAAAGCAATATTATGATTATCACTTGATTAAATATTCGTGCTATCGCAATCATAAATTTCTGAGAAAGTTCATTTAAAATTATATTGACTAAAGGTGGAGTAGAATAATTTTTCTTGATAAATTTGATTAAGGCATAAGTATTAAAATATTTGTAATTCTTTAAAAATTTAATTTATGTTTTAAAATTTCTAAATTTTTAAAACTATTAATCATAATTAAGACATGGAATAATAATTATAACGATTTATGACATTATAAATAAATTTAATAGTAAGGTGAATTATTTTAATATTTACTGTCAGCACAATATTAATTAAATGTACTTCTGACAATCTTACAAAATAAAATAAAGAAAGCATTCTCTTTAACTCATAATTTTCACTTTTTAAGTATAAGTATATTAGGATAATTTCAATACTAACTTCCCGTAATTTTAAATAAAGTGAAAAACTTACACGTGATCTAAGTTGTAATCCAAAATTTTTCAGAAATGCCACGTGATTCAAATTGTTTATTTTATAGTTATTCTTTAATAAGGCAAAATAGGCTTTTGGAGTGTAAAATAATTTTTTTGGTTCTCACTTGATTTGTTTTAATTGAACTGGCCAAACTGTGAAGTAATTTTAATTCGACAAGAAAAATGGAAGGCTTGCTGACTAAATCGGGATAACTAAATTTTATAAAAGAGTTTTTTTATAAAGTAAATAACAAAAAGAACAAATAATGAAATCTTTTATTAATTTTGTTAATTATGTCTAATCGGAATATTTTGAAATGAAGATTTACTCTTATTAAAATATTATTCTACCAAAACTTTTAATTTATGAAAATTGTTTAAAAGCGCTTTATTTGTGCTTTTTTTGCAATATTAATATATTTGAATAAAAACGAAAATCATCTTTCAATTAAGAGTTGAACACTGAAGCATTAATTCAATTTTTCTATGGCTTTTTTCGTAAATTTCTTATTGAAAAAAAAGTTCCTCATTACAAAACGAGTTAAAAAACTTTGATGAAGAAGAACTCTACCAAAATGCAGATCTGACTATAACTGAACTCATATTGTTCAATTCAAATTATGAAGCTGAACAAGTTAAGTGTCAGTTAGACGTGACTAAGTTAGTTAGACGTGAATTTTGATACACATCCGAATGAAGATTCGTTAAAATATAACATTTTCTCTTATAAAACTAAATTTGAAATTAAAATTTAGTTGAACTTTTTCTGTTTTGCTTTCCCTTATAGCAAAATTTTAATTTGAATTCAATTTGTCAGTCAATGAATTTATTAATCCGATACGAGTCAAATACTGAATTCGAAAAAAATTTTGCATTAAGGGATATTTTTCCTTTTTAAATAAAGCATAAGTTGTATTAAGAAAAGAAGTTCTCAGAGTAGATTTTCGTAACCTGAACAAGAAAAACTTACTTACATATTTCATTCTAAACTACTGCCAAAAGCAAATAAAGTAACAAATGTTAATAAAAGTATTATTAAATCTTATACTTCCCACGATTTTTAAGCTTTAGTGAACGCACCCCACTTTAGCGAAATATTAAATTAATATATTACTAATTTTCCTAACAATCATCTTTTTCTATCTAAAATTATTAAATAGCGTTTTGGAACAGCTAAAATAAAATATCAATAATTTACCGAATCTTTCAATATACACTGGAAAAAAAACGCATTTCTAAAGTGGTCATAAACCATTTTAAAGATCATAATTTTTAAATAAGTAATATATGTAATTGATAAATCGTAATATTTGTGTTCAAATTAGAAGTAGTTTTCATCTTTATATGATATAAGCATATTTCAATGCTTCTAATGGTAAAACTCACTAAAATTAGTTAAATTACATGGTAAAAATAAAACTAAAAGGGCTATAATTTCTAGCAACTTTGTAGATAATCTAATTTTGAATATGAATGTTGTAATAAAGGTACTCAAATAGTTATTTTGGCAATAGCAATTTTTTGTTTTTCGAAATAAAATGTAGTTTAATAAAAAATGTTTTGATAGCCACAAATTTTTCGGTAATCAAATAAAAACGATACCAAGTAAGAAAGAATTTATTTGTAAAAAAACTATAAATAAGTATTTCTCAATTCCTCAAAAAATATTTTGAATTTGGGTATAAAATATACGAGAAATTATTGTAGCCTCTGATCCAGGAACTTGTTTTATTCTAACTTGATAATTTATTTTCATAAACGGCTCAAAAGTATAACTAATTTGAAAATAGTATATTTCTCAAACAATTTTATATTAAGTATAACAAAAATTAAATTTATATTAAAACAAAAATAAAAGAGTAGGAAAAACATTTATGTGAAAATTAGCTAAAAGGTATGGTTGCCACGATTTCGGATATAGTTGTTTCTATCAGATACTTATAGTTAATTAATGTTAGTTATAGTCAATTAAATAATCTTATCATTAAGTTTGTTAATGATTAGAAAATTTTTCACAGTGTAGGAAGTTTCACCAAAAAGTCGGTTAGACGTTAATGTTTTCCTTGCATATTCTGAAATAACAAATGGAAGACCGCCAAAAAAATTCAATAATTTTTTAAAAAATTTTTTAATAAAATGCGTTTTTTTTAGAATATTTGCAACTTGTTAAAACGACGGGTTTTTAATTACATTATTTTTTCTGAAATTACAAAAAATGTAGGTAAATAGTTAAAACTACATGTCGTATCTAAAGACGTCATGATTTTTTTTCATATTAAATAAAGGGAATGATAAAGTTTGAGATTATCATAGCTTTATAAAATAGTTTCAAAACGTACTTACACATTTTTTAAAATTTCCTTGGTGAAAATTAAAAAGAAAAAGAAAAACTCACCCTGTACAAAAATTCAGTTTTAACAAGTAAGAAAAAATATAGAAGAATATGACCGCAGCGCTTTGAAAATGGGGAGAATTTGCGTATGCAATTATACTACTCAGTTAGTTAGCAATTATACCAACATCTGTCGCTCACTACAGCTTTCAGAAACCGTTTGTATAATATCTCAGTAAATTTTTGCCCTACATATGTATAAATATGTACAGAAATTTTTATGATATGAAATATTTAAATATTTTAAATAAAACTTGAAAGAGTCCAGAATTATTTAACTACAAACTATGCTACCATCAACATAAACTCAGAAATTTTGGAAACGGAAAATTGTTATTACGAGTATTATTTCGATTATTTCAGCCATAAAAAGAAATTTTTTTTAATGCAAAATTTCAGCTAGTACTCTAAAAGTTTTCCAATATATGAAAACAATTCCACCTGGGCATATAGTGCAGTGTGTACTATGTAGTATAGAACACTACTGCATTCTTTCATATCCAAAATTGGCGAAAAACTAATCTGTTTAATGCCAAATGAGGTTGAATTCAGTTTTCCATTTGAATATTATTTCAGGTACATAATCTTAAAATCAATTGTGTCACCTTGAATAATAAAATATCTTGAAATCAATTTGAAGAAAAATGTAGGAAAATATAGGATTAGGGAAAATCGAAGAAAGTAAAAATTAAAGAATAATATAAAGAACTACGTAGGCAGTAACAAAAATGAGTTTAATTATTTTGATGCAAATAAGCGATATCAAACCCTGACTAGCTATACTTAACCTTAAAATTGCAATATGTTCTTTCTTATATTATGACAGCTTATGGGATTGTTAATGAAATTTTCAGAAGTTTTCGTTTTCTAAATTTTATAATTGGGATTTCAAAAAATTAGCTTTTTATAAATTATTAATCACACCATTCCATTATATTTTATCAAATAAAATGAATTTGAAACGGGTTTTTTATCTTTTCATTTTACGCCTTCGAATGCAATAAAAAATATAACAATAAAATATCTAAGTATACATTTTCTTTGTTTTAAAGTTAAATAAATTTGCAATTAATCTTAGTTATGTAAGCCCTCTCATGTGCTGGTACCCATTTATATGAATATCCAAAATGTGCTGAAAAATTTTTCTCATTTCATTTAAGTACACATAGAAAGTGATCCAGCAGAATGCTTCATAATATTTTATCAAAAGTACAGCAATAATAAAAATTTTAGATTAACAATAAGTAATCTAAAAAAATGTGTCCTAATCGTTTATTATATATAACTGAAATATAGTCAATACAGAAATTTATAAATATTAAGAACAATTTTTTTAATATTGCTATACTAATAAAATTTATAAGCAAATATTAATTTTGCCGTCGGTAAAGTTGCGCATGGTTTTATAAAACTCAAAGAATTACAATTAATTTTGCATTTAGAATTTAGAAAATAAATATAAATTACTTAAATAGTAAAAATATAATTAATTGTGATTTTGTAATTTTAAATTTTAATAAAAGTTTTTTTTAACTAAATTCGAGAAATATTCAAATAACATTGTCAAATTTCTTAACTCTAATTTATATTCTAAATATATTTAAAAAAAATTGCATATTAACAAAACGCATTTATTGTTTACCTGTTGTCCAGCATTAGCAGCAACCCAAGCTTCTGCAAATGTTTCCATAGCACTTTGAAAATCCATTTTATTAAAATATTTTTTAAAAATTTCTTTGGGAAATCAAACCATTAAAAAAAGGATGGGTAACAAACACTTTTACACAAAACTTTATTACAAAAAATTGTTACTTTTGTACTCAAATTAGGTTTTCCCATATGCAAAGCATAGCACTATAAATATTTTAATTTTTATTTACATTAAAAAAAAATTAAGGAATTTATAAAATAATTTTTGAGTTCAAAATATTTTACTAAACTTTCAGTAGATTATAAGCCAATCTAATGAAAATTAATCTATAAATATTGCATTTGTGTTGCATTATTTTACTAAAGTTTTTCTCTTAATTACTTACGTTATATGTTTTGCAATTTAATTTTTTTGAATATGTATATTATGGGGCAAACACAAGATATTCATAGAGATACTCAACACTTCTTTAAACGCGTTATTGCATTAGCCTATTTATGTTCAATGCTTTGTTTTCTTTATTACATTCTTTGTGATAACAATCATATATGTAGGTTCGGTTCGGTTCGGTTATTTACAGTAAATTTGTAAATTTCACATTTTTTTTTCACCAAAATTTTAGTTACAAATTATAACGGTAATGATTTTTTATCATACGTCGGTATACATTTTTTATTTTATTTTTTTTGAAAATTAATGAATTTTTAAAGAATAATTTTTGATAAATCAACAACGGTATAAGGAAAATTAAAAATAAAAGCAGAAATCACTTTTTTAATTATTTTAATTTTTTTTCTTTTAAATTATGATTATGTTAATTTTGATTATTTGATTTATCAGCACTTTTTAATCTAGGTTTCATATCTTTATTTTTTTTACACTTATTTATGTAAATTCAAATTTACAGATTTAATATTGTGTTACATATGACCTGATGTGTTTAAAACTGCAAATTTTTATTTATTTTTAATTTTTATTACAAATTTTATTGTACATTTGTTTTTTTTTTAAGGTAATATGAATAAAGAAATCTGGAATCGCTAATTATTTAATTTTTAAGGTGAACATTATTAATTTGTAATGGTTTTGAGCCGAAACCAAAGGCATAAACTCCAATTATTTTTTATAATTTCTGTTAACATATGTAAAAAAATTATTAACAGTTTTATAAATTAGCATAACATATTTATAATACTCGTACGTTATGTAAATGGTTGAGTGCCATTTCACAAAAATAAAAAGTTTTGTTAATAATTTTTAATTTTTTTTTTTACTATTCGGCCTACATATATTATACATATGTATGTATGTAACTATATACATTTTGATAAGAACAATTGATAATGTGTGTGTGTGTGTGCATGGATAATCTTAAATTTTCCTCTTTTTAAAATTTTACGTGGACGCAAGCATATTCAATATTATGAAAAATTTTCTTAAAATTTTTTTTTAGTAATTTTAAAATTTTAATTATAAATTTTGAAAACAAGATAACAAAACCAATTCATTTAATATGGTGTAAAAGCATTTTTAATAGAATTTATTTTTTATTAATTATATTTTATTTAATTTATTATTATTAATAAAGATGGAAAGTATAATTGTGTTTTAATATTTTTGAAAAAGTAATTTTTATTTTTCATAAAAATCTTTTGGTATTTTTACAATATTTTAATATTTTAACATTTAAAATTAATTTAATAAATGTAAAATTAATCACGTTCGCTTTATTTACAATACATTTATGTAATGTAAGTATGTAATATTTTTATTGAGATTATATGTTATCAATTAGATTGAAAATCTTTTTCATTTTCAAATAGGAAATTTTTTATTTTGAATAATTACTGTTATTTATTTATTAATTTGTTTTTTTGTTATATGTAGGTCTAATCACACCGGTTGTTGTGGCGCAACTGATATCCAAACAATTAAAATGTATCCAACCAACCCCATCAAACAAAATGTTCGAATATTTTTACATAATTTTTATCATGAAACATCTTTTTTATTATTTTCTTTTCATTTTATTTTTTGTAAACTTATCAAAAAGTAGAAAAGAAAAACCAAAAAAAAAATTTTTTTTTTTATATCTCTACTCCATATTTTTCATTCTATGGCAAAATGGTTTTATCTCTAAAGAATTTTCTTATTATTCTTGTATTTAATAATTTTCTTTTACATTCGATACATACATGCTTACATACACACATCCATTTATTTTATAAATTTTTCTTTATTTATTTTTATCTTCATACATTCATACTATAATATGAGCAAAAATTTTTCAGAGTATTTACTTGCATAAATACTAAGTAGTTACCTACTATATAAAATTTGTTATACGTAAATTATGTACATCCTATATACAATATACAGCCATATACACATATATAAATTATTGCCGTCGGTTATTATGTATGTTTGTATGTTTCATCTGTTATACAATACAATTGTATATATGCATGCATATATGTACATATTTGCAGAAAAGAAGAACTATTTAAAATTTAAAGTAAAAAATGGGCATGTAACGGTTTTAGAACTAAAAATTTTCTACCGTTCTTTATGAATTTTATTTGCTCTGAAATTTTAATTCCTTAAATTGATCAAAAATTATTAATTCTTACAATAATTGAAGATCTAAGTTACATACAGACATGCATGGATATCTATGTATATTTTGAAAATTTGCAGTTTGTTCAAATTAAATTTTCTAGTGTTTGACTTACACATACTATACATGTATGAACTTCAATTTTAGTATTCCAAATAATTTGACATGTAGCTAAAGAAAAAAAAACAAGTTATTTTTTATCAAATATAATTAAACATTAAGCACGAAAATTTTTGTTTTACCGGCTTTATTACACGACTTACAAGTATTTACACTCTGTGTTGCGATATTCCAATGCATAATAATTATAAACATACATACATAACAATATGTACCTATATTTTAACTAATAAATGCATAATAAATATTGTCTTTTTATACGGGAACATACATATGTGTATGTGTTTGTATTGTCATACAAATTTTGTATAGTATTTTTCAATTTGAATTTGTAGTTAAGTTGAGAAATTTAATTTAAAAATTTGAGCCAGCAAAACAATGATGAGAAAATTTAAGAGTAATACAATGAATAAATAAAAAAACATTTAAGAGCGAGCGCAAGACCATAAAATTTAAGAGAGAATTGTACGTGTATAAAAATTGACTTCGTGTGAGTGGTTATGATTGTAAAACAGTTTTCTTTTGCATGTGTTTAAATAAAATAGTTTTTGTGTTTGATTCAATTTATTTCGCAATGAATTAAGTTGCGTTGAGTTGTGTTTTGTTGAAACAACACCTGTTCGTCAAACAAAGTATAATCATTCAAACTTATTCATGCAAATACATTTTTGGTGTGTTAAAAAAAAAATTGTTTAAACTACATAAGTGTGTAGGTATTTTTGTAAATTTTAATATTTTCTAAATTTTGGTTAATTAATTTATATTAGTAATAATGATTTTATACTCTTTAGTATAATGTTTTTGTTTTAGCATTAAAGACCTGATTTTTCATTCCTTTATTTTTTAACTTATTAAACTCTAATACTAAACTTAATTTCGTATTTCTTCATTTTAAACCAATTGTTTCACCAAATCTAATATTTCAGAATAATTTTTTATATTTTCAACTATAATATTTGAATATGGAACTTAAGCTGGAACTATTCAATTCCAATCTATCATAAAACTACGTTCATAATAACACCCATAAAAACAACATTTTCACATCTACACCAATCTTGAAACGTTTAAAAAATGTTAATCTGTATTTTGTATATTTTTGTAAATTTAAATTTTCACATTTTACTTAATAAAACTAAGGTGTCCAGCAACAACTACTTAATGTTTTGTAACCACCGAGAATATTCAACAATTCACATAACTTAGCAATTATACTTTTATGATTTTCTAAAATTTTAGGAAACTTCCACCCATTACAAATTCAAAAATTAAATTTAAATTTCTTATCCTTAGAAAGAAATTTTAGTATATACTATTTATAAAAAATAATAGGTATTGTATGTAGCAATTTAATAAAGGATTATGCGCGCGCATTAGTAATTGATTAACAGTAAAAAAAAAATCGTATTTTATTTTTTTTTCTTTTCTTTTCAATGCAAAACAAAAGCAGAATAATAAGCAAAACAAAAACATACCTAACATTTTATAAGATTTTCATTTCAACCAACCCCAAGTCCTTATACTAATGCATGGCCATAATCTTATGTATCCAATAGATTAATCGAAAAATGAAAAAAAAAAAGAAAAAAATTATAATAAAAGAGAATTTTTTATGTAAAGAAAAGGTTTGCTATATACAAATAACTTACATACATATGTATATATATAATAACAACGTTAACGTATGTAATTATGTAATCAAATTATGTACATAATATAAAGTAATTTTATGGTATTGTATATTATAATAAATATTACATATATATACATACAAATCTGTTTATTTATATGTATCCATATACTTATAAATATGAGGTTTATATTATGTACATTAGTACATAAAAATACATAAATATGTAGGCATTTAACAAAAAATTATAATTTAAATACTCCGCAAAGCTTATACTATATACTTAAATTCGCCATTTTGAATTTATTTTGTGAAAAATTAATCTTATTTGCTAAAACATATAATACTAGTATACGAAAATCAATTAAAAATATCCCAGAATTAATTGTTTTCCTCAGTACCATAAATTTATACAATTTTAGTTTTTCGATGATGAGGATATGCAAGCAGACATATTAAAATAAATTTAAATAAATTGCTGCTTATCCAAATTGCAAATAAAAATGCAATTAAACCGCACATAAAGCATCTACAAGAATTGTTGAAAAAGAAAATATTTTGTTCCTTAATTTGCAAATAGAAAGTGGTAGTCATAAATTGCGGAGTTTGAATGATAGCTTTGAGTTTAGCATAACATTTTTTAAACATTTTATTCTCGTGATTAAAATCGCTTGAAAGTTCAAGTAATGCAAATCATATGCGAACTAAAGATTAATTGGCTCTGCGGGCATATATTTTATAATATCAAAACACAAAATAAGTAATTCGAAACATTTGTGATATTAAAAAAAATTTTATTTTCAAATGACAT